TATATATATATAACAAAAAAGATGAAAGTGGTGAAAAAAAAAAGAAGTGTTTAGGTCCAACACCCGGGTTCGAACTTGATTTCACCAGTCGGTACTCCGAATTGTTTACCATTGGGCTATTTTCTGACTCTGATACCCGCCGCTTTTATATGTATATAACAGAAGATGAACGCGAAGGTGGAAAAGACGACGAGGTGCTTAGGGCCAAAACCCGGATTCGAACTTGAGCTCACCAGTCGGTACTCCCAGTCGAATACCATTGTACTATCATCCTACAGTGACATCACTGATTTTTCATGTATATTTAAAAGAAGTGAAAGTGAAGATGGAAATTTTGGAGGGAAATGATAAAGGTTAAGCCTACGGAGAGCACCCGGACTCGAACCTGAGTTTACCAAGTGAGCATCCCTGTCATACACCACTAAACTGACGTTGCACAGTGACGTAGTTAACTACTACGTTTACTTATTGTAATCAAATAATACCGTTCAAGAAATATAGTGATATAAATATAACCCGAAAGGTTTTATCAATGATCGGTCTTGGTCGAATGGATAAAGATCGAACGTGGTTCCTGGGAAACCCGGGCTCGATTCTTGCTCAATTTATAAATGAAGCAGACAGTGGGGCTCGAACCAGCGTCGCCTGACTACTACGCATCGTGTTTTACCATTAGCCCATTGTGCCACGAAATTTTCGAAACTTTTAAATTTAATCATAGGCAAATGACTTCGTATGGATTTACTGATAAGACGCTTGCATCTCGTGGAGTATCCGCCTCTGGTCCAAACTTGGCCCCTGGACGACGTGACGGGAAACCCGGGTTCGATTCTTGCTAAATTTATAAATGGAGCAGATGGTGGGGCTCGAACTCGGTTCGCAGGACGACCACGCGCTGACTTTTACAATGAGGCCATTTCGGGACGGAAATTCCGGATTTTTTTACATGTAGTCACAGGCGGTGTCCACACGCGTCTGAACTATTTGGTGAGACTATCTGCGTCTCTCGTGGAGTGGTCACTTATGAGATGGGCTTTGCCTTTGGGCGACGTGAGGCATTCAGACCTCACCCAAAACCCTCGACCCCGCCAGTATTCCCAACCACTGCCTGCCTTCATCATGCCATCCTGAGATTTACAAAGCCAAGTTCGTTTTACATTGAAGACGAGTATCACAAAGAGATCGTGTCATTTTGCATTATCGGCGATCGTCAATAAAGTGCAAATAAAACACCCATCCGCACACTTCCAAACGTGTAAGACAACTTTATTCATTGTTTCAAGCTTTGTTGACAAGGGCAACTCCGCTGGAACCGTCGAAACGCAAGTCTCGTCTGGATGGTTGCGGGGTGGTCACTGCTGGTCCCAACGGGGCCGGGGGCTTAAGTACCTGCAACACCCAAAGGATCACGGTGAAATCAAACTTCGTTTCAGATTGGGGAGGAAACATCGGATGACTTTCTGAGGGCCCCGATACCCCCCCCCCCCCCCC